CAATAAAAAAAATTGATCGTGGAATTTAAACACATAATAATTATCTTAAGATTTGATAAAAATGCAGTAATAATCTTTGTATAAAGTTATTGTAGTAATAACTAAGCGAATTCTTTTAGTAATTTTTTTTTTGCTCCCGGGAAAACAGGAAATTAAAAGATTCCCAGGAATTCCCGGGGCGGTTAGAGAAAGTAAAGACAAAGAGGATCGGGACACCCTATAATTTTGGGCGCCACTGAACTGACTCCTTCTTAACATTGCAGACGTTTATTTCACAATTCATGTGAACTTTACCTGTTTGCAAGAGTCACCGCAATAATATAATTTATTTATTGACCAACAAAGTGTTAATAATAACTGGTAGTCTACAGACGTCCAAAGTTTGAATATTAATAGTCTCGCCAGCAATCGTAAAAATTATGTTTAATCTATTATACAGTTTGAATCTCTGGCGCCTTTTGCAACTTTAACTTTCAGGCGCGCCATTTTCAAAATTCAACTGTTTATATGGAATGGCGGTACATTTTTACAATGTTTTATAAGATTTGCAGCGATCACATAAAGTGTAGTAAAATATTGGCTTTGTGGTCGCAATTAGTGTGAGACTAAAGTTAAAACGTTAGACGCCACCGGTATATACATAAAGCCGATTGTAAATGTCTTCAGTCTCTTAATTTCGCCATAAACTGAGCCATATAATCCATTTATTGCATCGGCTGTTATAAATGTTAGAAACGTCGCCTTTTTCTCATAATCCTTATTACTTTCTCTAAATTTTACAAATCCAAATTGAGATATTACAAAAATGCTATTAACAAAATTTCAAATTTAAACAAGTTGTAAATTCATTATAGACGTCATAATTATTGAACAAATCTAATGAAAAAAATTCTTAAATTTTAATAAATCAATTTACTTCGATCTGTCCGATTTACAAATTTTATTTATAAACTAAATCGTAAATTTAGTTCCTTGATTAGTCCGGTTTCAAAGAGTCCGGTAAATTAGCATATTACCCGTAGCACTGTTTTTGTTATATTTATATTTAAACTATTTTCAAGTATTTTTTTTGTAAATATTTATTTATTTTGATTAATATTTGAATGTTTGTAATAAAAATGGATGAAAGTATTTGTTCATTAAAAATTGACATGTTTTATTTGAAGTAATCTCAATTAAAGCGATATCTAAAGTTGATGGAAACCAATGTTGATGATTCCTCAATAACACTATATAACACAGTTAAGATTTTTTGTATGGGAATTAAACGTAATCGAGTGTTTCGAGGGTTGATTATTTGTTTTCACTATATAATATATTTGAGGAATTGATTTCGGAATGATGATGATGACGACGGTGTGGTCGGTCCTCAGGTAGAGTGGTCCGAGTAATTAGAATTTAACAAATGGACGAAAATATTTGGATAGTTATATAGAGAACGGCGCAACAGCCAAAGAAACAGGTGGGAAAGGAATAGACGAAGACGAGGAGAAAAGGAAGAAAAGACGACACTGTATATACAACACGTTCATTAATCACATTCCTAAAATAGTTTAAGCGTGAAATATACAGAAGGGCCAACGATTATAAATCTGTTTATTTATGTTTTTTTTAATTCGCCAATATATACAGTTTATTTCACTATGTTAACACTGAACCCACACACACACTTTGTATATGCATACTTGTACTTTATTTGTCTTAAAAAAGAGACTATTAGTTGATAATGTCACACTCAAATTGTTCCAGAATTTCTATAGTAAATTTCCAAATTATCCTACCTTCCTTTATAGATTAACATGTCTATAATATCAATTGAATCAATTGTGACAATATAATAATTGCGTTTGTAACTTAAAAAGTTTAGAGAAATTACTCTTTAAAATTTCTTTCATCTTTTTATCATTGAATGTGAATAAAAAATTGTCCTTATTTAATGGATTATATAAATAATATAAAAATATATTGCATTTAATAAAATTTAATTTATATTAATATTTAGAAAACTAGCAGAAAGACGTATGTATTGAGTTTTTTTTATTTTGTAATTTTCTGTTTCAATAAATATTATTTATATATTTAGTAAATAAGTGATAAGAATTGTAATATTTAAATAAAAATTATAATAATTACAACATTTATTGGTAATTTTGACCAGAAGTTTATAGTCAAACCTAATCACTTCTTACATAGAATTTGCACTTTGTTGAATGTCTTTTTATGTTAAATTATGAAAATTGGAGGAAAAATACAAGTTTTTCTTGATTAATAATACTAATTTAAAACACCACATTTAAATTTGAAAATAATTATTGCAATATTTAAAAAAAAATCTTATATAAGATGTAATATAATTGTAGAAAAAGTTTATAAAATATGTTAATACTTACGGGATAAAATGACATGTTTTTTTTTTCAATTTAATATAAAATATAATAAAATAAGGAATAAATAAATGCAATTAAACAATTTGGAAATTTTATTCATATTCATATAATTTTTAAAGAATTTGTGACAAACTATTTTTGTTTAATAAACATAAATAAACTAATTGCTATTTAATGCTAAACTTTAAGTTTCTGTGAATAAAATGTTAATATATTTTTTTTTTAAATAAAGTTTATCAAAAATTTTAAATGAACGCAATTGAAAAATATTTACGCAAAGTTTGGTTGTGCTTTATATAAATAGATCAAAGCGGCGGACAGCCGTGCAGTTTGAAAGTTCCTATCGTGTTCAGAAATACATTGTCCATGGGTAGTGGGGATGATGGTTTCGTGCTGGTGTGAGTGAGTTTGTTGAGTATCTGTATATGTTTGTGTGTGAAGATAAGTTATATGTATTGATGTGTCGTCAAGAAGGCAAGTGAGCAAGATAAAGATGGAGAAGGAGAAAAGGACGAGAGGCACTCAATTGCGGTGAAATCCTTAAAAAGCCACTTGAGTAGCATAATGGGACCAACAATACGCATTCGGGCATTGTTATAGTCCATCTTGCCGCACGTGCGTCTACAAAGTCCCGTACTCCCATTGGTTAGTCAAGACCCCACACCTTAGCCAGGTAACTGGGACTGGGATCTTCAGTTGCTTTAGTCTTCAGTTAGACTTGATGCTAATCTGCAGTTTTAGAGTAGTGCTTGCTAGTGGTGCGTGTGTGTGCTTTAGTAGAAATGTGCATTTGAATAGTTTTGTCACTGGATTTACATTACTCTACTTAACAGAAGACAACAACAACTACTACTACTACTGACTATACATCTTGAATTCTTCCGGTAAGCACGATACAAACACAGTTTCAATAAATACAACGACACGAAATTAACACGAACATTCGATCGAAATAAACTTGCTTCGAATTGTCCTCTTCGTTGCAGTAAATAGAAATAAGAAATCGCGAATTTTCCAAGGAATTTCGGTGAGCGCTGACCGCGTCCGCATGTTTGCGCGAGACGTAGACAGCGCGGCGCGCGCGCGACTTAATATAATTGTGGATCAAGATTCAAGTTTCCATAACGGACACAACACCAAGACCAAACTTGAACTTTACACAATCAGTCCACTCCGACAAATTGTTATTGATATATAAACTACATCCCAACATCAACAAACAACAATAACAGAGCATCACGATATTATTATTACTTATTAGCTCAAGCAAAGCTCCAACTCGAAATACACACTCTTCTCTTGCAATGATATTTCTCCTCAAATTCTGCACAAAATTTCTGGTAATGTTGCAATTTACGAAACTCATCTATCACGCAAAAGGTGCAATTTCAATTGAATGTTATTCCGAAAAGGCAATTTTAATTACACCAGCGGCGCGCGTTCCCCGAAATTGAAAAGTAATAATAACGATGATGATGATGATGATCGTAATAACAACAAAAATATTAAAGACCACATTCTTGTGCTTCGTGAAGGTTCTGTCCAAGCGCGCACTCTCACATTTTTAACGCACTTAAATCCGTATTTAAAGACCCGAAAATTCCGCCGAAATAATTGCATTCAAATCATGTTGATTTC